CTCACATTTTCCACCTGGGAGCTGCCCGGTGCGACTATATTCTTACTGCTGTTGGTCACTGAGCACCTGAATTGAGCTATTGGGGTCATAAGGCTTTACTTGTAGTACAACGCCAAGATAGAAGAGAAGCTGTTGAGATAGAGGCCCTGAGGCAGAAACAAATCTCATAAGCTGAATTAAACCATAATAAAAAGCAAGTTTAACTAACTAGCTAACCAGCCCTCCATTTCACCAAACTATGTGACATCCAAGCTGCAATATGCAACATGAGATCGTTTTTTCTCGCATTAAATTTGACACATTTTATGATCCTTAATAAATGGCATACTAACGATAAATGCATGAGCCTGTAAGATAAATTAATCTACAAACTGCAAGTGAAAATCATTTGTGAAATATGACGCTGCCAAGTGTGAAGTGTGATCTGAGTTGTTTTGTTAAACCAACACCAAACACTTTTTCCTACAAGGACTTCCATTGCTATAGCATATCAACATCATCAACACCTCAAAAAGCAAGGAATTTATTTTGGCTTTTTTGTTTTGTAAATGTAATACATTATACAGTATGATGTTGTACTTGTAATTGTCGTTCATTGGGGCCCCCCAGTAGCTCACCTGGTAGAGCTCACATCCCATGTCCCTACTGCACCGGTCCGTGTTTGATTCCAGCCTGTGGGCCTTTGCTGCATGGCGTCCCCTCTCTCTCTCCCCCTTTCCTATGTACCTTCAACTATCCATTAACACTACACTCCACTCTGCCACTTATTCACACTGTTGATCTGTGGACTCCAGCCAGTGACCCTCCATTCTGCAGTCCACTCCTTAACCTTTGGACTCTCTCCGTTTCTCTCTTCAAATTCAAAACAATGAGGACAATTTTTCACTCTGGGAGCTTAAGAACACTTATAACAAGCTACTGATCTACTAGTCTCTCCCTCACATGCAAGTGTGTTTCCGTCCGGCTGGCTACACTATATCCAATATGATGCAGTATTATTGGCTAACATTCATTCTGTATGGTCCCCATACACGATGATATGATATCATTCACTGCCAAGTGAGTGATTCTTTATTCACACCCAATAAGTGGTAATAAGATTGGCTAGCGGTGGTGCTGTATCCAATAAGTTATAATACAATTGGCTGTCAGGATTATGTATTCATACTTAAATAAGTTGTGATATGATTGGGGTGCTGGTGGTTCTATATCCAATAAGATGTAATATGATTGGCTGCCAGCAGTTGTGGATTCAATAAGGTCTAATGTGACTGGCTCATATGGATTCTATATCCAATAAGGTAAAATATGACTGTCTTCCAGTGACTTTGAGATACTTAGTTCTCCAGAATTTATCCCAGAGAGCTTGGCACTGCTGTGTCTCCAGACAAAAGGCGAGTCAGTGAGCTTTCCAGCAGGTATTTCCCAGTCTACCTCTGCTTTGTGCCAGGAGCAGCAGTTTAGGAGGCTTAGCCCACATCCATCTGTGAGCCCGCCAGAATATCTCTCTGTGTATTCTCTGCATTAAAGCCAAGTTCTGCATCTCCTGTGTGCTCTATTCTCTTTGAGAGAAGCTTCCAGGGTGGATTTTGTATTGTTGTATGAAGGTTTACTTTTAAAAACTACTGGGGAAAATATTACTGGCCCAGCTTGGGGAACACAAAACAAATTGTAAAACACTTTAAATGAACCATACTGGCTACAAGAGCAGGGCTTTCTGGCACAACTCCACCTACTTCCAAGGTGCACGGAGAATGGAAAAGGTCTAAAGAGGTCAAACTCCAGCAAGAACAACTTTAATGTCAGACCAACATGTTTTGGCTTGTGGCCTTCATCAGGGTTATTCATGAACCTGACACAGGCCCTGTTCTTAACAGCACAAATGCAGCTAGACATTTGACCTTTTTGCAACAACTTCCTTACAGTATCTCCATAGTGACTTACAGGACAGTCAATATGTACTATTTTAGTGTAGCAGGCAAGGGATCTCTAGACCAACATTTTAAGCAGCAACAAATTAACTACAAAGTGTCGCCGCGCTTCTTTCAGAAATCCAGTTATCATTCAATTTCTCCTGTGATTGTTCCTGGGATCAAATAAATGCAATGTTATGAAACTGCACCCAATTTGTGCAAGAAAAAGGAAAAAAAAGGGGTCAAACATCTCTGACATCACCCTGACAAACAAAACTCATTTAAAAAAGCACCAGGCGGATTAATCTGCACAGAATATGAATTCAGTAAATGCAGTGTTTCAGTTCGAAGTGCATCATCTAAGATCATCCCTTGAGCCTGCCTTTATGATAGGAGCTCTGAATGCATGAGCTCTTTATTGTACAAGCACTGATGCTACGGGCCATATACTATAAGCACAGTAAAGGAGGATTCACATTCAAGCATAAAGCCTCCTCAGTGCTGTTAACTGCGAGAGAAAGACACCAGGCATCTGATTCCTTTGTAAGCGAGTGCAAACGGGAGGACATGTGGGTGGATGAATAACACCAGCTGTCTCCGATTACAAACAGGATGTGTCAGCTGCTAACAGCAACTAAACATCCACTCAGTTTCAAAAATCAAGACAGTGAGGTAACTTTAAGCAATTCTCCAGATTTCACATTCTGGGATGTTTTGCTAAATGTAGTGGTGCAGCCTGTTGATATGTGGGAATTAAACGGTGCAAAGAATAAAAGCTGGCAGTTGTGCATTGTTGTGCATGAGCGTGCTAAAAGAGTGCCATCCATTGAACATGCTCATGTTTTTGATGAAACTCAATTACTTAAGTTTCACTTTCATTTTTCGGTAGAGCTATTACATCGGTGCACTGCTGAAGAGAGTAGCAAAACGGTGGAAAGCAAGCTCATTAAGTGAATGATGATCACAAGAAATCATTAACAATGGATAAAACTGCAAGTCAACAGCCACAAAGACCCTCAACCCAAATCAAACACACAGCAATTTGTCTAAAAAAATTTAAAAAACGAAAGAAATGAACATAAACTATTATTATATACTTAGTTAAAAATTCTAAATTGTAAACAATGAATGTGTTTTTTGACCTCTCCCATTATTATTCTTTGTCTTACTTCTTTTTGGTAGATAATTATGATAATCAAGTTTTGGAACTTCAGTTCCATAATTTGGGGGCTTTGGGAAATATAAACAGGAGGTATAATGCAGTCATGGAGTCAGTGAGGAAGCTGTGGGCTGTGACCCCATTAGCCTTTATTTCTTTACATTTTGGCACCATTAAGTATGCCAAATTAGTTATTATCTGGTCCTGTTTGCAATGTTCCTATGGATGTACAGACAACTATCAGTGGATTACTCTGATACTGCGGAGAACTTAAAAACGGAAAGGGGTCTCAGGCAAGTTGTTGTTTTTCTATGATTTTTGTGGATTAATGGAATTTTTTTTGGCATGGATGTTGCAACCTACACTTTTTGAGGATGTCAAAAAGTGTAAGTTACACTGATTCTAAGTTATGTGTATCATGTATGTGTGTCAGGATTTGACTGGGGTATGATTCTGAGAGGTGCCATCTTTGACAAAAACTGCAGTAATCAGATGCTAAGGCTTTCAAAGTATCACAACTGCCTCTGTGAGCCGTGTCGCAGCCACGGCTGCTGCAGCAACTGCAGACTGTGCTGACAAGCAGGCCTAATCAGCAGACCAAACTACAATAACCAACTTCCTGTTGTTTTCAGAAAATTGGCATGCACTTGTCCATCTGCTTCACACAGGATTTTTGTCTCTCAGCTCTTCCTCTGTTTCCCCCCTTCAAATTTCCTTCGCCCCACTGGGGAGGCACACCTCATAGTTTGAATACCTAAATGGATGCAAGTGTGGTACAAACATGCAGTGTGAGTATGTGTTAACAACAACTGTATTTGTCAAAAGGTTGTGTGGCCTTAGTAACTCAGTCACAATAGAAGTCATAAGCTATATTCCTGAGAGAGACACATCAAGTGTATGCAACTGCTACTGGGTACATTTACAAGCACCAGAATAGTCTATGGCAATAAGGGTCCTCAAAAAGTAATTAATTCAGTCATTCAACCAAAACAGACATTTTTAAGGGTTCAAATATGTCAAGAAGGTCACATAGGAGATTGACTCTGATCATGCACTTACAAAAATAACAACACAATGGCAAGTTGTGGCAAAGGCTAATATCTGTAGAGTATCTATTAAACCACTTTCATGTTGAACCACTCACCGGGCTGATACAAGGTACAATGCAATGTTGTTTCAGCAAGTCAACCTAAATGTGATTCTACATGGAAGTTTCATCCACAACCATAATCACTTGCTGACAGGCCATCAGATTTCTAATATTCATGTTTTGATGAAGTTAACTGTTCCCTGGTCTAATTAATTACAACGTGGAGACCTGGGTTCAGGTATTTCCTCCAATACAATAATAATTATATTCAAAAAACAAAGTTCACCAATGCCAAGCTCAAACATGTTGGCTCAACCTGAGGGATGGGGTCTGAAATTAAGACTTTCAGTTTATCTAATATTGCAGAATGCCTGCTGAGAAAATCACATCAACACATTCACGTAAATGAACAGTGACTCTATATACATAAAGGCTGATACTTAACATGTAGAGCCATGTCTGAATCTGAATCTTGCTCACCCATCCTCTTTGTTTTTTTATTCTGCATCTAACCAGGATATACCTTGAGAATACTCGTCAAATACTTTAAATTGCCTCTTCTTAGGCTTTGGGTCAGACGGGAACCTCTTTCTTAGAAAGCAGTAATAAGCAGATGGTTGGGGAGGCGCTTGTCAAGGCTGATCTAGTAGAATTGCTTTGGAAAGCCTGTATGAAGCTTTGTACTCTTGCACAGAAAAGTAGAAATACAGATATACAGAAATACAGACCTTTTGGTGCTTCAACCCTTCCCAGTCCTTGTTTGATAAATAAAGCAGCTTGTGTTTCTGTTAGAGTAAGTGTATGTAATGTTACATAGACACATAACCTCCCTACTCACCAAGCATGATGAGGGTGGTCGTCCCTTGTTCGTTTCCAGAAGGGTAGGTGGCATACTCGCAGGTATAACGGCCGGCATCGGACATTCTTAGATTAGAAATCTTAATGGACGGGTTCTCTAGACTGTTGTGGAGGAAGGCAACTCGGTCCTTGAAGGACAAGTTGGGGAAACTGTGTCCGTAGATAGGGTGGTATACAGCGATGTTGTCCCTCTGACCATCAATAGGTTCCCATATCCAAGACACCTGGTAAGAACAGAGTTTGTGAAACCGTGTGTGAACCTTGCTGGTAAGCGGGTCAAATCAGTGGCCAAACTACATTAATTCAGAACACCAGCATGCTCCTGTCCCTGTGTGTGTGTGTGTGTGTGTGTGTGTAATTTCTGACATTTCTGTTTCTTTTGAAACCTGAAATAATTTTACCTATCGTGCAAAGTCTTAGTAAGGAGCAAGAATCTATTGCAAGATGACATTAAAGGTCTCTTAGAGTTGCAAACACTCTCTCAAGTATCCGGGTTGCCATTTTAAAGAACACAGTTTGACAGAGAGTTTTCTTACGTGCTTTTCTCCTTAAGATTTCTGATATGTGAAAGATATTGATATCTGTTACAGCTGTATGGGACTGTACCGCAAGGGAGAATACTGTGATGTTATACTAAATTGATTTTCCCTTCTCTTCAGTTTTCAAAGTGACAGTGTTAAATACAAACTGCTGGTAGACTAGGGAGGAGAGGGAATAAAGTTTATCAATATACATTTAGCAAACATCTATTCAATTTATGACATCTAGAGGAAAGGGAGAGAGAAAGCAGAGAGGGCCGAAGGTTGCGAAGAGGAAGATGGATTGTAACCCAGATGTCAGAGCAAATTAGTGGATGAGACTCCCTCGTTAGCTGTAGATTGTCGAGAAAATATGATAGAGGGCAATTTAGTCCGTCTGCAATTTCAGTTTTCGTATGGGAACAAATTGCCTATTGATTCCATCCACAACTCAGAGGGGGACAGATCACACCAGGATCAAATTGAACTCCTTCATAGCGTTTTGCTTTAGCCTACCTTGTGTAATTGTGTATCAGAATAGTCCAGGTGGTGTCAGAAAAGTTGTCATCTGGGGTTTGATAAAATAAATTGACTTGGAGATTTTTACGTTGTGTGTGCTTACAAATCTCCGTCGGGTAAGATCAGGTTGGAATTAAATGAGCTGTGTGTAAAAGTTAGACAGCTTAGTGTCCTAAAAAGGAACATTAGGATAGCCTGGTCTCATGTTTACGCTAAGTTATGCTCTTCCGGTTTAGGTTTGTTTCATGTATAAAATTGAGAAGGGTTACAGTCTTCTCATCACTTCTCATACCCACTACTTTTAGTCTCTATAGTGGATATCTAAGCACAGGTACTGTCTTGATTTATTTATTTGTTGTCCGTTTTTTTTTATAGTTAAAGTTCGATAGATCGTACTTTGACATTTTGACCGCCACTGCCTCCAAAGCTACTAAAAACACAATGCTGTGTTCCTTCTTCCTACCTGTGTGAGTTTGGTTTTGCCTCCTCCATCGATGAATTGGCAGCGGAGATCAACAGACTCTGTGGGATACGCCTCCACCTCCTCATCAACTCGCACTTTTTGAGCCCCGATACCTGGAGGCAGACGAAAGGGAGACAAAGAGGGAGATTATACATCATCCACAAAACCAATATTGTGTGAATAATTCAATATGTTTGTTTGTATGGAATCTAAAAGAGGAACTTGAACACACAGAGAAGATTGCGAGAGAGAGAGAGAGAGAGAGAGAGAGAGAGAGCACTCTGGTAACAATGGAGTATTAGAAGTATTTCATTATGAATCTGGTGCTATTTAAATGAAATTGCTGTGACTGATGTTTTTCCCTCCCACTTGTTTTGTTTTTGTCAGAAGAGAAGATGGACCCTCTTAATGTGCGTGTCATGGAAACAGAGAAAGACAGTGAGGAGGCATTAAAAAAGAGTCAGAGAGAGAAAACAGACAAGTTCATTTTTAAAAGAAAGAAAAAAAACCTTTGAGTAATGAGCCTTTGATAACAAGCCTCAGGCAGAATCTTAGCCAACTTCCTTCAACTAGGCCCTCGTTATTACAGTAAAGCTCGTCTACAAGGAGGCATCGCTAGGGGGCGAGCCTTTAGGAATACCACAGCAGCCCGTACCGCTTCTCTACTCTGTTTTAAATTCAGTGGAGGGCACCTGTGACTCTTTGCCTGAACATGAATAACTGTGTGGAGAGAGCAGGGCCGGTCAGCCAGGCAGGCACAAGTTCACAGAAAACAAGCTGGGAGAGCTGCCCCGTCCGTTCCGACTTAAACAGTGATGAAAGGAGGATGGCTAGAGCCAAGCACTGTCTCAACACCAGGCAGTACCTGACCTGCAGGCTGTTTCGGAATACTGAGTTTAAAATTGGATGATTGAAACGACTTTTCCTCAACATTTGTCTCTTATTCTGTGATCAACTGACTCAACTGTGTGTAGTAGTCTGCTGCTGAGGACCAAATCATGTTTTGCAAGGTTCTTTTGAACCTACACATTCTCTTTTTACCTTAAAAAATGTCACTGTGAGGATGTGATAGCCTATTTTCTTTCCAAACAAGAATCAGTGTCGCTACCGACTCTGTCAGGTTTTTACGTTCAAATACACTCCACAGGAGAGCCAGGCTTCCACTGAATTTCAGATGGATTTCACAAATAAAACTGATGTAGCAGAAAATGCATTTGAGGCTTTCAACTGAAACTGCGATTAGTTTGCATCTGAGAGCAGCAGGAAACCCTGAGCAGGACAAATTCTGCGGGATTACAAAAGCTCACCTAGATACTGTCTGGTTTTAAAGTGCTTGTATGCCTCGTCTTGTGTACCTCCTTGTGAAAAATGTGTTCATTATAAGCACTTCAGTAGCTGACATGAATTGTCCCTGCCTCTTAGAAATGGTTCTTTTTGTTTGGATTAGTTGTCAAACAGGCAGCTCTCAACCAGTGAGACAAATTCCTGCAGTTCCCTCGTTAAAAAATTTGATATGTAAAGCCAACAACATTTTCTCTATTAAATTTCTCTAAATGAATGAACTTTAATGAACTTGTAATCCTTGTAATCATGAGACAGACAAATAGAGAAAATGACTCCAACAGAAAGAGTAAGAAAAACAAAAAAAGGGAGGATCAGAGAACGGAGAACTTGTAATCCTTCGTTAATGCAATCTGCTATGCAAGTCCAGCAGCTCTGCAATGTGTTTGGCAGCTTCCATATACAACCATATGAGGCTTCAAGTGACATTAAAGAGTCTTGTTCATGCCTTGGAATCAAGTCATTTTGCAACAATGGGCTTCATCTTCAACCCTCTTGATGCTCACTTTGGTAACCTCGACATATAATAACGCTTTACTTATTTTTTTTTCTATTCTTCCTCCACTTGCTCTGCTCCTTTAACTGCTCTCTGCCTGGCACTCATGCAGTGATCTAGACCCCTGCCATAAACCCCCTGCTGACCCAGGTCTTTTCTCCTCCACCTCCCCTCGCTTTCTGCCCTCGCAGCCAGCCTCTGCGCCTGCAAAGATAAAATTCTTGCGGGGAGCCAGCCTCTCACTCTCTCTACACAAGAAAAGGGGATAAGCACTCGCTAACCGCTAGCTAGCCCCGGGTGGTTCCACTGAAAAAGCCTCTTAGCGTGTGTGGGATTGATTAGGACAATATGTTACATGCCACAGCATGGAGGTGAATGGGCGGTCTGGGGTTTAGCCTGCAAATCAGCTGTAAAACACAGTCACACTAACAAAGAGTGTAAAGTGTGTGCTGCAGGGGGTGTTGGGTTGTTTGGGATTTACAGCATGCAAGCATCCACGTGTCCGCCCATGTGTGCAGGGGTTGAATTTTGTGTGTAAAGGCATATGTATGCTGAACAGTGTGTGTGTGTGGTGTGTGTGTACACAGTGTGGTTACTGTACATCTCTCTGTGTGTGTGCATAAATCAGAGCATCCCATTGTAATGTGAGTGCATATGAGACTGACTCAGTCATTGAACCACAGTCTTTACCCTGAGGGACACAATGGGCTGTCAAACCAGTTATCCATTCCCACTGTAAAAAATGAAATGAGCACACACACACACCTACACACAGACACACAGACATGACAGAAATGCACCCATATGCAAAACATATAAATGCAGACTACTGGCTGTCAGACAAGCTTTTCCACAGCCTGAATCAACAAGAATAGCAGCAATGAACCGCAAGTTCATCTCTGTCTCTGCTATTTGCTTTTCCTCTCATCACATTCTTCTTCTTCTTTCTTTTTTCTTCTCTCATGCAAAAACACATGGATTAATTTCCCCTAATTAAACATACAACTTCCACTATACATAAAGAAACTGAAATACAAACACACATACACACTCACGCACACACCCACACACAAAGATGGTCTCACCAAAGCCATGAATCATATAAACCTTTGGGTTATTCATAGTGGTCAATGAAATCTCTTCTGTACTGTCGGGGAAAGTAATAAAAACAGAGAGAGAGAAAAAGAGACGAAGAGGGGATGATGAAAAAAGGAGGTAGTTAAAGACTAAAAGAGATAAAAGAATACTGAAAGAGAAGTGTGTGAAAGGAGCCTGAGAAATGAGAGGAAGATGAAGATGGAATAAAAATGGGGAAGGATAAATGCAACAGAATAAAATAGTAACACCAATAGAAGCTCAGGAAGAAGGTTTCAAAAAGTAAAGAGACTAAAGGAATGACTAAAGCAGAGAGGAGACTGAAGGCGATGGAGCTGCAGGGGTAGACTGGAGGAGGGAACGAAGAGGAAGGAAAAAAAACAGAAGGCAAGGAGAATGAAAGGAGGCCACAGAGTGAAGGAAGTTTGAAAATGGCCAAAAAGAGATATGAGGAGAAAAAGTAAAACATTGAAAGAGTGAATGGGGGCAGAGAGCATGAGATCACATCAAAAATGATCCATTTCCTCAGAGCCTGACTCCGAAAAGGCCCATGGAGACCGAGCTCAGACAAGACGAGACGGGCGAAAGGCTGAGAATGAAGAAAGTTTCTCTTCTTACACTTCATACAGACCTACATGACCACACCACTCGTGGCACAAAACGTTGCCACTTGTGGGCGTTTAGCTCTGTGTTTTTTAAGAATCTGAGCTACTACTTTGTTAAACTTTATACTTACATAGATGTTTTTTTTTACTTTATCATTTGCTTTATCTGATTTAGCTAATTATAGACAATTATATGTACAGAGAACATAATCTCTCTCTGAGTTCCCCAATTTATGGAACTGCAATACTAAATTGCTGGGGTATTCCTGTAAGGCTCATTGTTTTCATAGTTTTCACTAAACTTTACAGAACTCTTTAAAGCAGTTAATCGGCTTAAATTAATTTCCACCTGGATTTGTTATTCACACGCACCAAAGCCTTGTTCTCTTTCCTTCTGCTAGAGGAGGACACCAATGTTTTCAGTAATTAAGGCAGCTTAGAAATGTTTTTGGACAAGATCTTTAAAGAGATAAATGGGAGAACTTTATTTTATGCAGATACAGAAGGCACATACAATGCAATATGAATACCTGACTCTTGATCCACGTGTATTTTTTTCCCCAATTTTATTGAGGCAAACACTTTTGATTGTTACACACAATTATTACTTCCTGCCCTTTGAAATTAGGTGTAATTGTTGACTGCGCTTATACTCTTTATTTTTTCCTAGAAACATTTCACACATACGCTTGTTCTGCTATGAGGGAAATTGGTGTCAAGGCACCATTATGACCCTCATCTCTTCAGTCCTTTCCATTATTTGCTCGCAACCCCAATGATCACACAATTTGCAGCGCATTCTACTGTTGCACTCAGTGGAAATCGCTGTGGATTGGAGCATCAGCTTAACGTAAATGGAAAGTCAAAGAGGGGAGGCGGTTAAATGAATGGCCACAATCTGCTTCCTTTCCAATGCACCAGAGAGATGAATCACAGTTAATTGACATTTAGAGGCTTGTGGCATTTGCCTGTTTATGTGAGCTACCCCATGTAGACAGGCACGCAGCGTAAGCGTGAGGAATATGCTGATGAGATGCACACTCATCCACGTTAACATCCAAATCACATACTTTTAGAGGACAGTGAACCACAGCTGTTTTGTTTTTGGGTTTTTTTTGTCAGCTCGTCGTAATGTCAGTGATGTCAGCTTTTATCTGTTTGATTAATGATTGCAAACAGCTGTCAAACGTAAAAAAATTTTTTACGCATTTGAAAAGCTAAAGCTGCCGCATGGAGAATTGCTTTAACACATCAACAGCAATGTATGATGATTCGATTTCTTTTCACAATATGATTATCAGGCTATCAAAATTTTTCAGACACCATAATTACTGCGAATACATTAGACTGAAGACCAGATGATAGGTAGCCTCTGTCTAATGGCAGCTTTATTATTTCTGTTTGTTTGTCGATGGTAAAGTTCTTAATTGGACATATTTTTTGTTGAACAAGATAACAGCCAGCAGAGAGGTTATCTACATCTAATGGCATGTCACGAGGTACTCAATAATCACAGATGTTATCAAGAAAACTAAAATTAGTATTGCCTCACATCTCCATACTACTCTCTCAAAGG